ATAGATTGATAGATAGACATATGAGAATCGATAGATAAGACATAGATTGGAGGCAGATAAATGGATTAGAGATAGATTAGAGATAGACAGATAAATCAGAGACAGATGGATTAGAGATAGATTGATATACAGGTGATATACAAGAGATTGGAGATAGATACATAGAGATAGGTTAGAGACAGACAGACATAGATAAATTAGAGATAGATTGATAGATACATGGATAGATAGATAGATAGATACAGAAATAGATGATAGATAGATGGACAGGTAGATAAAGACAGATTAGATAGATAATTTATTATATACTTACTGTGTGCCAATCAGTGTGCTGAACACTGGGAATTTAACACAAACAAACCAACCTCCCCTTAAGGAGCTTATATTTCTCCTGGAAGATGACATCCCCTAAAGGGTAGCTGGAAAGTAAGGGTTGGTGCCAGCAGGGCCACATTTCTTTAATAAGAGGAAGAAGCTCATACTAATTGGAGCTGTCCAAAAGTGAAACGGGCAGCTTTGAGAGAGTGAGCTTCCCATATGTGGAGACAGGATGATTCCTTGTCAGGAATGTTTCAGAAGGAATTTCTACTGAGGTACAGGTTGGACTACCTGTAGATGGCCTCTGAGGTTTCTTCCTACTCAAAAAAATAGGATGGGGATAAGAAGAGTCATCCAAGCAGCAGGAAGTGCAGACTTTGGGATAGAAGGAGGGTGTGTGAAGTTGGGGAGGTGAGATGAGGGGACAGACAGCAGGAACTGTAATGCAGAGGGACACCACAGACATGGTGAAATTGGGGTGGGGTAGCTAGCACAGACCAGCACAGGCTGTCAGAAGCTATCAGGGCAGGATAGCTTCTCCCATATTTCTCTTGAAAGCAAATGCCCCCTCATGTCAGTGCTCTGAGGCAGAGTATCGGTAACCCTATTCTAGTTACAACTTTGGTCCCTGTCCTCACAGAACAGGAAGGAGAGATAAAATTTAAGAACGGGTCCCAGAAAACATAGCAGTGACCCTCGCTGTCCAGTCCTTTCTCCAAATCCAGTCCAGGGTTTAACTCTCCACTGCTATTTATACCTTCCCCGTAACTCTGAGACTCTAGTACATATGGAGATGATGCATGCATTCAAGGAAGCACATTGAATGTCCATTTACACATTATAATTACACCATCCATTACATGATTCATAACGATCAGCGAGTAATCAGTCTGGGGGTCACTATAAACAAATTAATCCTGTATTAAATGCAATTCTATCATTCTAGCTTGTGAATCAATAGGCCTGTTCATGGCCATTTAAGGAATCTGAAGAGGAATATCAGCTCCCAGTCATGCATCACTTTAGAGAGGCCCGAGGGGACCAAGTGCTGTCATCTCCAGCAAGAAGCAAGGAAAATCTATGTCCTCCCTTGAGCCTCAGCCTCTGCAGCTGGCAGTGCCCACTTTCCTGTCAGCAGGACTGGCTGGGAGGCCAGGATTCTGGCCTGAGCCCAGGTGTCAATAGGAGTGGGAGAGGTTCTCAGCAGAGAGGCCATCAGCATTCAGGGAGCGTCCTGGGAAATTCATCAAATTATTTAACCTTTGCCGGAATAAATAATACATGTGCATTCTCGGGATTTATTTTGATTAAACCATCCTGGAGCAGTGCCAGAGAGGAGTCTCAGGAAAGGCAGGAAGGAGGGTTAGTAGTCTCAGGATGGGCAATCAGAAGCCCTGGCCCCATGCAAGATAGGAGGGGGCAGGTTAGGGGAGAGAGTCCTGGCGGCTCCGGAAGGCCCCTGATGAGCCTTTAGATGGCAGGACATGGGGAATGAAGCTGGAGGCCCCTAGCTTGAGCCTGCTGGAATCAGTCTAACCCCCCTGTGGCAGTTTGGGATTATGCAGAGAGAAAAGGAGTGAGAATGAAGCTTTCAAGGCCAGAGTTTCCTCTTCTCTCTTCCCAACCCATTCATTCTAGATTAAGTGCTTGGAGGAATAAGAGAATAAACTAAGACACAAGTCTTAAGGACTTTGTCTCTCTGGGAAGAGAAGACATGGTGAAGTAAGAGCTGAGGGTCCAGGGAGCAGTACGGGAAAAAATGGTCCAGACAAGGCAGTTCAGAGATGGAAGAGATTGAGGTGGTCTGGGAAGGCTACATCGGGGTGGTGGTAACCTGGACTTTAGCAATCAGGGAGGATTGGATAGATGGAGAACAAGAGAAAGGGCATTCCAGGCAGTGTGGAAAGCATGAGCAAAGGGGCAGAGTTAGGAAAGAACAAGTTGTATGTAAGGGCCATTTTATGTTGGGGAAGCATGGGATATAAGGTGGGCTGAGGTAGAATGGAGCCATATGGTCCAGCTGGTTTAGATCAGTGGTGTCAAAGCCCAGTAGAAGTGGGGCCACTAAACCATACATAAGGGTCCCTGTGGGCTACATACTGATTTAGTTTTAAAATCTAATAATATCTAGATTTTTTGTATTTTTATTTATTTTGTTAACTATTTCCTAAATACGTTGTCATCTGATTTGGGCTACATTCAGGAATGTTATGGGCTGCATGTGGCCTAGGGGCCTTAGAGCCTTGAGCCGCAGGCTGAGGAGTTTACGTTTTATGTTGTAGGCAATAGGGAGGCATGTTTCCTAACCTCACAGAATCAAAGAGTCGGAAGGAAATCTCCGAGGCCATTTGGTCTAACTGGTGCCTGAACAAGAATCCCATGCTACAACATACTCAATGAATGGTCATCCTTCTTTTGCTCCAAGGCCTCCCATGAGGGGAAAGAGACCAGAACTGAAGGCTGCCAATTCTACCTTTAGACGATGTAATTGTTAGGAGGCAGCTAGGTAGTGCCATAGTACATAAAGTGCCAGGCCTGGAGTCAGGAAGACTTATCTTCCTGAGTTCAAATCTAGCCTCAGACACTTAGTAGACACTTACTGTGTGACCCTGGGCAAGTCACTTAACCTTGTTTGCCTCAATTTTCTCATTTGTAAAATGAGCTAGAGAAGAAAATGGTAAATCACTCCAGTATTTATGCCAAGAAAATCCTAAATGAGGCCACGAAGAGTCCAACATGACTGAAAAATGACTGAACAACAACAAAAATTGTTAGGAAGATTTTCCTTATGCTAAGTCTAAATTTGCTTCTTGGCAGCTTCCATAGAATTGCCATATTCTTCCCTTTGGATACATACAAACAAAAGTCTAAGCCTTCCTCTTTGTGACAGCCCTTCAACCTCAGGAAGACCACTATCAGGTATCCCCCATATCTCTTCTCCAGGCTAAACATTCCCAGTTCCTAACACCAAACCTCACAAGGCGTGAATTCAGAACCCTACTCTGGACACTCTACTTGTCAATGCCCTTCCTAATGGTGGAGCCTATACTCCAGATAACACCTGGCCAGGATGGAGGACAATGGGACAATCTAGGCCTCTCTAGGCCTGGACACTACACCTCTCTTGATGCAAGCTTAGATCGAATCAGTTTTCTAAGCTGCTCTATCACAATGTGGGCTCACTTGAACAATCATAGTGATGATAATAACTGACATTTATATCATGCTTTACAGTTTGCAAACTGCTTTACATATATATCTGAATGGGAATAAAGAGTGGACAAGAAGACATGCCTTTCAGTCCAGCCTCAGGCACTTCCTAGTCATATGGAAAGTCACTTTACCTCTGCGGGCCTCTGTTTCCCCATCTGCAAAATAAGGGGGTTGAATTCAGTGGCCTTTAAGGACCTTCCAGTTCTAAGCCTATGATCCTATAAATGCCCTTCACAACATAACCTGAGATAATTAAACATGTAACTTTTCCATTAAGTTGCTAGGTAATGGTCGAGTGGAGTAAAATCATTCAAAAGCCTCTCCCCTTTCCGGGGTTCCTTATACCTCTGGGTCTTTATGGAAACATATGGCAGGAGTAGGTAAAGCCTTCTCCATCCATTTCCTGTAATTCATGTTGACAGCAGGGGAGAGGATTTGATGTCATGCCCAGAGGGCAGTGTCACTGGTAAGGATAGCCCAAGCCACAGGTGTTCCCTATGCACATATCTTTTCAGAGGGCCTGAGTCAAATTTTATCTCTGCCACTTGCTACAGTAGCTGGGCACCTTTTCTGAACCTCAGTTTCCTCATCTGTAAAATGAAAGCAGATGGCCCTGAGGTTTCTTTAAGCTCTAAATATATCCTGTGATCCCATGGGTAGCTGATGTCCAGCTCCAAATCTATAATCCCATGATACCTATGTGTATACCTCTCTGCATGTATTCCCTGATTGCCACTGTTCCTTCTCCCACTTGGAAGATGGCAACTTGAAAATATTGCATTGTGTATTTGGAAAGTGAAGAGGGAGGGAAGAATGATTTTTTTCTTATCATTTATTTTACAGTGTTGTTTGATTTTACTTTAAATTAACATGTCCCCTAATTGGCCTGGGAAAATGAAATATATGAGCTGGGACTCAGAAGCTATACTTTTGAGAGGATTCTGACCCAAGAAGTACCTAGACCATAGGATGGTTTTCTGGGGACCCTTGAGTGAGGGGAGCCCTGGGTGCTACATATGGATGAGCAAACCTAGTAAGGCTCCAAAGAGGAGAGGAATTTGCTCCAGGTCACTGGCTAGTAGCAGTCCTCAGTGGCGCTCACATTCAATGCAAGGTTTTCTGACTCCGAGGCCAGGGTGAGGTCAAGCATCTGGCCAGCTGAGTGAGTGGGAGTTGGAGCCACACTGTGAGAATATGACCTTCATTATGAAGAAAAAGCAATAAACTGAAGTGGATAGACTGAAATTCCTAATAACTAAACAAAACAAAGAAGTATACAAGCAAGAGGAAAAAGGCGGCCTAATCTCCTATCTCAGAGCCACTCAGAAGGCTATTATGTCAACAGAAAGCATGCATATTTACCCTCTGTCTTAACTCCACAAGGAATCCTCAAATACCACAGACCAAATATTTCCAATTCAATAAAAACCCATGAAAGACCTACTTAAGTAAATCTATCAAGTACCTACTATATGTAGGTGGTGTAGTGCTTCAGTCACTCACTGAGTGACACTGGGCAAGTCACTTAACTTCTCTCAGCCTCAGTTTCCTCATCTGTAAAACAGAGCATAGAATTGTTTTGAGGATCAAATGAAATAATATATGCATAAAGTGCTTTGCAAGCCTTATGGCATAAGATTTTACTATTAAGAGTATTTTAGTGCTGAGAAGAACTTTACAGCATAGAATGTTGGAACATGGTATTATAAAATACTATTAAAGCAGAAAAGGACCTTGGAGGTCCAAGGTTCAGCCTGTGCCCTTCAAGGCTCTTTTCTCTCCCCATCCCCTCTGGCTTGGTGAGCTCATTAACTCCCACAGGTGCATCACTATGGAGATGACTCCAAAATCTCTATCTCTGGTCCTAATCTCTTTCCATTTTTACCCAAAGTCTCCAGAATGTCTCCTCTTGGATCTCTTGTCTGAACTTGAAATTCAGCCTTTCCAGACTGGAATTCCTTAACTGTCTCTTCCTCCTAATTTCCCTATTTCTATTGAAGGCATTGTCATCTTCCCTTCAAGGTTTAAAACCTTGAAGTCAGTCCTGACCCTTTCCTCTCCATCACCCCCATATCCAACCAGCTATTAAATCTTATACCTGATTGTACCTGAAAGTCTCTCTTGAATTGCTTCCCTTCTCTCCGTTGGCATGGCTATAGCCCAAGATCAGGCCCTTTTCTTTTCTTCCCAGGACTACTACAATAGCCTTCGAATTCTTCTCTCTGCTTCTAATCTTTTAATCCATCATCCACAAAATTGCCAAAAATTATCTATCTATTAAATCTATTATATGTGTGTATATCTTTTTTTACACACACAGGTATGTGTGTGTGTGTGTGTGTGTGTGTGTGTGTGTGTGTGTGTCTCCTTATCTCACCCAAGCAGGAAATACAGCAGCCATTCTTGGGCTAGATCCCACTACTGTTTAGCTGCTGAGCTTTGACCTGCCCCTTTTCCAAACTGGTTAAGTTCTCCCCTCCTTAGGCAGCCTGGTGGCCTACCTAGTGAGGTGGTGGTAGAGGAGGGGGTGGGGCTCACCATATTGGCTCTTGACTTCAGTCACCCAATGGCTTAGCCTTCTGCAAGCCACAACTCCTGAGCTCCAGGGATCCACAAACCCCAGTCACTGGGGAAGCAATTTCCAGGCTCAGCCACAACCCAAGGCTCCACACTCTTCTGCTTTCCAGCCAAACTGACTTACTAGCCTTTCCCTACCCAATCATGCTTGGTATGCAAGCCCTCTTCACTTTTAGAATTTTTAGGATCTTTCCGGGCTCAGATCAGGTGTGCCCTCCTCCATAAAGCCTTCTCTAATCTTTCTAGACCTTACTGCTCCTGCCGTCTTCCAATCATCTTGCCTTTATTTACATTTTTAGGATGCATCCCCCAGTAGAATGTAAGTTCCTTAAGGGTAAGTGGCTATTTTTCATTTTTTTTTGTCTTTGTTGAGGACTAGCAGCTATTTAATAAACATTTGTAGAAAGGAACAGAAGAAAGGAGCACAAGGGAGGAAAAGAGGAAGGAGGGGTGGGAGGGAAGGAGAGTGAAGAGTGGTTGGGAAAGAGGAGATGGGAGGGTACCCAAGACAAACCTCTCACTTCCCAGCTTTGCCTAGGAGCGGGCCTGAGGAAGATGCTCTATTGTGGTTTAACCAGGTTTAAAAGTTTCCGTGCCAGCCTGGACTGGTAAGTCAGGAGCTCCGGGGGAGAGAGAATAGAGGCCTCTGGATTCCTTCGGAGAAGTCAACACCAATGCCTGCCTGAGCTACAAGAAACACAGGCCTTGAAATATTCACAATTGCTCAATAATAACCCCAAATAATCTTTCTTGATTCTGTGTATCATTTTCCTCTTAAAGACACGAAATCGCTAATTAGAGTTTTCTCTGAGCAGTTTCCCTTTGAAAAAAAATTAAAAATGTATAAACCCTTCCGCACCGTGTATGTATATTTCATTGCTGTATAATTGGAATCTTCCTCAGTATCTAGGGCGGCCCAGTGACAGCTTTTTAATGTGATACAGACACTAATGCATAGAGATACATTTTTCTTCTGCTAAACTGCTCCATCGAAAAGACTATAGTCCTCCTAATAAGTATTTATGTCAAAACCCTTTTTGGGGGGAATTAGCAGCTGTGGCAGAGTTGAAAGCGAGGCTCTGATTACAGTATACCGGGAAGCTTGGGGGAGGGGTAGGTGGGGGGGGAGCATTTTTAGAGTGAAACAGTCTTAATGAAGTTAATCACAAAACCCGGGGTATAATTGCTTCTGCTCTCAGACAAAATTTTACTTTTATCTAAATTACTAAAGTGGGGAGAGTGCAATCCACTCTAATTTAGCATTTGAGCTAAAGAGAAAGCTCGTGCACAAGGAGGCTGGAGAGCTTTTGAAACCTCAGGAGACTCCCCTGCTGCCGGATCCAGCCATGGTCTCGTGAGAAAGAGAAAGTTCCGGTCCCCGTTGGGCTCAACTTTGCTCCCCAGTGCTTCTTGCCCAGCTGTTCAGGAAGTCAGCAGCAGGCTCGGACTCAGAGGCTCTGCCCCTCATCCCTTCCCAGGAAAGGGTTGGTAGGGAATGGGCTCTTCCTCTCTAAGTCCCTGCTATGCTTTGGAGGAATCCCCAGATTGGGATGGGGGGTGGGGGCAGAGAGGAGGATGAGGATGGACAGGAAGTCAAGTCAATAAGCATTGAAGTGCCTATTACGTGCCAGGCACTGGAGGTACAAAGAAAGGCAAAATCAACCCTGGTCCTTTAGGATGCTCGTTCTGAAGAAAGCACAGTGGCTTCATTGCCTGGCCCCAACTTCCTGATCCCCGTCCTGGCAGAAATTAAAGTCTCCCTTGGAGAAAGGTGTGGGCGAAAGAGGCTAGAGATGTCTTTTTTGACTCCTTTCCAGCTATACAATGCCGTACCTTATAACACATAGAACCTTGCCACTCATGGGAGTTCAGTCCGTTGAAATACAATTTCTGCTGGTTTATTTTTGCAATATATTGTGGGGTTTGGGGCTAATTTTTTCCCTAAAAGCTATGACAACTTTTGTAAATCTTGTGCTCTTTCAGTATCTTATTTTCTTAAGATCAGTCCACGGTGTTTTAAATGGGGCTTCTTTTAGCCCAGATTGCCTTAGACTTTTATGAAATGGTCCATAAAAGCCCCAACCCCCAATTCTATAATGCCTAGTGTTTTAGGCTGGTTAATATCTCTACTAGCCTGGAATGAGTTTAAATAAGAATTGCTTTCTACCGACAACTAGGTTTACTGTTAGAATGCTAACAAAGTTTTTTTCTGAAATTTTGGTGGAAGGTTTCTTTCCCAAACTGATTCTTTTGTGATGGTGAATCTCGAAAGTCATCTCATTTCTTACCTAGCCCTTGGAATTTAAATGTCATTTATCACAGATCTCTAATATTAGGATTGGGAAACTTCTTTGACTTAGTTTCTGTCAATTTTGTTTCTCTGTTCAGTTTTGTTTCAGAAGTAGAACTTTGGGCCAGCTAGGTGGTTTAGTGGGTAGAGCACAGGCCCTGGATTCAGGAGGACTTGAGTTCAAATCTGGCCTCAGACACATAACACTTACTAGTTGTATGACCCTGGGCAAGTCACAACCCCATTGCCTAGCCAGAAAAAAGAAGTGGAGTTTTGTCTTTTCATTCTGGAAAACATTTTGTTTGCATTTAAAAATTTTTCTCTTTATAGGAAGCAGTTGTTTTTTTTTTCAGAGCCACAATTTTGTTTCTTCTTAGTTATATCCTGGAATTTTTCAATGTAATTTTAATTTGTTTCATTGGTTTTTGGAGGTATAACAAGCTTACCCAAACTGACTTTACCTAATCCTACTATTACATAATTGTTGCATTTATTGATACGATGTATTAAAAGTCAAAATGCTACTGTATGTATAATTACTTGCTATGTGTTTATACATGAAAAAGTCATTAGTACTATTTTCATAATTTGAATTCTTGTCTTTTGTTAGACTAGTGTATTGTTTAAGCATGGCATATTAATCCAGTAGATCATTTGTGGCTGCTGTACTGTACATTAATTAATTGCATTAATATTTATGTATTAATGCAGGCACACATGGAGCAATCTCTAGAAAAGATGGAAGCTAAGGTAATTGAGTGGTACTGTTTTGCTTTTGTGTTTGAACAGCATTGAGGTCTCCTAACATCAGAAGTAGACATTTTCAGGATATTGGTCAGAAAAGTGAAAGGACTGAAAGAGGGTACACATAAGGCCACTGATATTAAGGTGTGGGCAACTCAGGGAGTTTTTCTAATCTTACCTGAGAATTTTTACCAAGGAGATCTACCTGAGGAATTAACAGTATGAAGTTGTTCGTAGGGATTTCAGACTTGTCCACCTTCTGAGGATGAGGAATCATTTAAATAACTACGACCTCTTCTAATCAGACGAGACCTTCCTACTGAATGTCACAGTTGAACCCAAGAACTCCATTCCATCTATGAATGAGGTAGAGATCTAACCCTGCCCCACCTCCCCATGGCATACAAATACCATAGGCCCAAATTTGGCTTTTTCTCTGGACGCGAACCATGTCCACCAGACAAAGTGATGTGACTGACAGAGAGTCTAAGGGGGATAGCTGCAAAGTAATCCTTGCAGCTTCATAAGGGCTAAGTGAGATGCTACCCAGCATGAATGTGTACAAAATGTAACTGTAATGTTTGAGGGGGGCAGATCAGAAGACCCCCTACACTAATGTTGTCTCTAATATTGTAAAGCACAATGAAAAAGATTGTTCTGATGCCTGATACGTGACCCTCACATGTCCAATGTCATCAGGACTACGTAGACGCAGACACCATTGCCAACAACGTCTGAGCTGAGATGGGTACTCCGGAGTCTCAAAGGTCAACATAACTCACAGGGCTCAGGCTCAGGCAGGCTCTAGGCCTTCTGGGTGTGGGCCACAGAAACAAAGCAGGGCCACAGCACCACCAGGACTGAGTTGCAGTCACAGAACCTGAGAAGTCAGTGTGGGGGAAATACTTGCTCATTTGTTAGCATTTGAATTTAGCTTTTTGTGACCCTTCGTGACCCCATTTGGGATTTTCTTGGCAAAGATTCTGGAGTGGTTTGCCATTCCCTATTTTATAGATGAGGAAACTGAGGTAAACAGAGTTAAGTTACACAGCTAGAAAGTGTCTGAGGCCAAATTGGATTCAGGTCTTCCTGACTCCAGGCCCAGCATTCTATCAACTGTCTATTCTGCTTATGTGACTAGAAGTGTCTAACCCTAAGCTTGCCGTACAAGCCGAGCTAATCTTAGAGAGCCTCCAGGGTAGCTTGTTTTGGGTCCACTCAAAAAGCTTGAGTTTGGGGTTCCCCAATAGCTTGTGTTTTGGCTTTGCCCCAAACATGGTTAACTGACTTGTCCAGGGTCACACAGCTAGTAAGTATCTGAGGCCAGATTTGAGCTCAGCAAGATGAGTCTTCTTGACTTCAGGTTGGGCACTCATTATAATAGTCATCCCATACTAACTACTAGCCCTGGTAGGAGCACAGAAATCAATCAGTGACGAGAGAACTAGACCTTGTAGCCCAGTCACTGGGTTAAGTTATGATGGAACAGATAAACCTGAAGATACAATAACACATCTAGGTGACAATACTAGAGACTGCCCATGTGAAATGTATCTTGCATGTAATTGCATGTTTATTATTATACATGTCAATTACTGTGTGTTTGAGTATGCCTGTTTTATTTTGCTGTCCTGTTCATTTGACTATATTTTGTGTTATGTTTATGCTATAGCAAAGTCTATTTATTGTCTCATGTATATTCCACTGCTCATAATTAAGTTGTATTTTTACATAGACATATTGATTAGTGTTATTGCTGCAGCAAGCTAGCTTTGCTTTGGTGGTTGGCCAAGCCTATTGCTTTCAATTGATCGCTGTACTATGCATAGGCATGTACTTTCAAAATGTGCACGTGTTATGTCCTGTATGCAGTAGTATCCTCCCAGGTGATGCTCTGTATACTGCCATCCATGTCTACTGCATGTACTGCTAATGTGCATTTGTTTTATTTCAGTTTCATTGGTACCAAAGGTTGGTTACCTGGTACTCCAGAAAAATCATCCTGATTGTTTCAAAGTGCTGGTGTTTGTATTTATACTGTATATTTGTAGCTTTGCCTTAGCTGATCTTTGCAAGGGACTGCAAAGAGTTGGGGCAGGGGAGGAATGTAACCCTAGTCCCAAAGCCCATTGGTATAGAACTCTGTCCTTATTGGTGGATATCAATGCCCTGCACCTGTGGGAGGGGCAGGGAGAAGGTGGTGAGAGTGGGAGAGAGGAAAGCGCTTCAGTGTTTTGTGGGCTTTTTTGGGGACTATCTTCAAGTTGATGAGTTTCTTCAGCTTTTTATGCTTTTGGCTTCCAGCTTGAGAGAGAAGACGGAAGAGGCCAACCCCATTTCAGGTTGCTGAAGGAAAAGGCGCCAGAGGAAAAAGCCGAGATAAGAAGAGCTGACACTCTTCATTGGATGAGTTTTCTTGGCTATGTGCTGTTGTTGTAGTTGAATCATTTCCAGTTGTGTCAAACTCTTAGTGACCCCATTTAGGGTTTTCATGGCAAAGATACTGGAGTGGTCTGCCATTTCCTTCTCCAGCTCATGTTACAGATGAGGAAACTGAGGCAGAGTTAAGTGACTTGCCCAGGGTCACATAGCTTGTAAGTGTCTGAGGCCCATTCTTCAGGTAATATTTTCTGGCAGTGAATCATCGAATACC